CAGCTTGCAACACTCCAAGCCTCTCTTTAATTTTCACGATGAACGATTTATCCTCAAAAAAGAAAGGGTGAAAAAAGGAAATTATGCATTAATGGTGGTTTCTAGTGGAAATCTCTGTTAAAAGGGCGAGTGTGGCGCAGTAGTTGAAGGCGCCATGCACCACACACGTGGAATCGATCCCCGCGCCCATGGCCCACCAACCTTCATCCCTCCGGGGTCGGCAAATTGGTACTGGACTTGTCTAGGAGAATAATAGCACTGGCTCCAAAAATCGGATGGCCACCGCGAGTCACTGTAAAGGCCAGATATGCACTTAGTCACCTCCAACAATGCTTGGCGAAGCCGAACGCGTGGAGCGTTCCTCAGGGATTAATAAACGCCGAGAGCTTTACCCTCTTTTTACCATTTATCTTTGATAAAAAATTTTTCTTGCTCTAGATCTCCCAGTGATATATCATGGTGATCCTCAACTGAGCTTCCTGCCCAATGAGCTTCGCAATTTGTCAGCTGCCTCTATTAACAAACATCCGTTCCTCGTCAACACCACGAAACACAATCTATTTAGTTCGGGTTAGGCACACATACTAATAACACTGCACAGGCAGGTAATGGTTATCCGGCATGGATTCTCAGAATGATCAAGGAGAATATTCCGGCAGAGATAGTAGTTATAAACGTTTACGTTTCACAACAACAGTTTGCGAGTCTCCTATTAATGAACTGATGAGTGAACTCAATGGTCAATGCTATTATATCGGCAACGAATAGAAACTTCATCAAAACGCTATAAATATAAAGTTCATTGAGCATCGACCAGAAGCATAAATGGCCGTCAAAGCAATGTCAAATTCGGGATTGTGAGTTGCGCTACGTATCACTCAAACAGACCAGGGTTAGCGATTACAGGACTATCATCTGAAGAGTCCAATAACCCTTCTACAAAAACAAACACGAGATAAAGCTGCAAGCCAGTTGCGTGGATCGTCTTTTTGCACTGACACCGTGGTCGATGTTGACGATGAAAACAAGAAAATGCAAATGCACTCACTACTCGCTTATTAAAATTCTGTAGAATGAAGCAAATTTCTGTCAACATGTCAAAAACAAGTAAAGCAGGGCATGGATTAATTAGCTACAGAACAAATTTACGTTGTTCACGAACAAAGAAATTGAAATGTTCAAATTCGTTCCGAGTATCGAAGCTACGACTTTCCAAGCTACCCTTACCGTTCAGCTTTATCCCAGTATTGTTTGCGCTTATTTAAAACGTCGGGTCATCTGATAGGAATTTCACTCTCTGTTTATCACATTTTGTAGTCTCCAGACAATTTTTGCCTCATTGGGGTCGGGAAGGTGTCCCTGGATATGGAGCACCCAGAGTTCACCGATCCAGTAGTGTCTTCTAAGCTGAGAAAGCATTCAACATTTCCACTCGGACGCATAGCAAACGGTAAATCAGTGCAAATTATGGTGCACGTTTAGGAATAAATCGTGTCTCAAGGTGTCAGACCTCCTTCTGATCACAAAACCCGCCTGCTTGACCACGTGAAGAACGTTCTGGTAAGGGTTTCTATTAGAATTTCAAGGCAAAAAAGAGTCTTGCCAAACTAAATCTCGCCTTGTTAGATAAAAAAGGCCGTGTTCTGCGTCTCTCGCAATAATTCATCAAATGTGGTCATGCAAGTGTCAAATTCAAGAATTCGTTTTACACAGACCTTTAGGGTAATTTGTTACATTGAGAATCAACTAGGAATTATGGGTAATAGTGGAAGAAATTTTCACTTTATACAAATTTAAGACTGAATTGAATTGAGTATATCAGGGTTTTCACTGTTTCAAAGAACCCTTCTAAGAAAAAAAGTGTTGGAAATGAATGAATAGTGGTTGATTACCTAACGAACACGATGGAGGGTCGAGGAATTTTTAGTGCCCTTAGGTATGACGTTCATCCAAGATGTACACGCAAATCTGGCATATCGATCGCCATTGAGTTTAGGGTGCAAGTATCATTTACATGAGAACCACTCGATGAGTGATTATCCATGAGCTGTAGAAGAACTCTAGCATGCTTGATAGAAATAAATCCAGATAGTCGACACTTCTTGTGATAAAAATCGTGGGGCAAAGCTTTGTCAAACCTTTTGTGGTTCTGTGCAGTTCTTTTAGACTCTTTTTCAGAAGGTATCTGGACATCTTAGAAACGATTGGCAAAAAAAAAATAGCTCAAAAGCACTTCTCGGAACAAAATTTGGATAAAAATATCCTGAAAGGGATTCATTTACTGCTTTTTGTTCGTAGAAATACTGACACATCCATAGCTCCACTTGATTCCCTCTGTTACAAAAAACAAAACACCATAATGAGGTCCATAGAGATGAACCAATTCCTACTGGCCAGTTCCTACTAGTGGCTTTTGCATAAACTGTAATGCTTGGAAAAAAGGTATTCTTGTGCTATTCTGAATACAACACGTAGGGTAGAGGAGCTACTGTCTCAACAGATAAGGTACTATAGAAGAAAAACTTCTCAAAAAAGACGCCCGACATAATAATACGTGCGATCGGAAAAGCGTTGGGAGGCAAATGATTAGAAGCATCTATGAGTACAGTGACTACCAAGTTGTTTTTTGCACATATTTCTTCTACGGAACCCTAAACATCCTATTCAAGTTCTCAGGAGGAATGTACGTTTGCTAGTTGTTAGGTCTTATTCGAAGACACATCATAAAACTGAGAGACGGATAACTGTCATAAGAATCACTGCTTCCTTGATGAGCAACCATGAGGTTGAACAGCAAGATTTATTCATTCACAATAGCTGACGTTTAGGCGATTTCGCCCTCATACGAGCGAGGAAATCTCAAGTCGAAACGCAATGCACTCAGCCAAACACTATCATACCCTCAGTAAATGAAATTTGATATATAAATGTTAATCAGTAAACGCAAAGGAAAGCATGGTGCTGGTTCGATTCCACTCTAGGTGTACCAAGCCTCATATCCCTTCGGGGTGAAAAAATTGGTAGCGGGCTTGCCCGGGAAAAATCACTATCTGCAATCCAATTGGGAACGCTTCAGCCTGGCTATCTCAGGACTCCAAGGGGAATCGAGTCGACCAGCATTCTATGGTATTCAAGATGAAAAAACAAATCATCAAGCAGCAGCCAAAGCCACATGTAAAAGTTTGAAGACCTTGGTGGATAGTGGATGCGAAGAAACGAATCCAATGTTAGAAGAGCTGGGATCCGCACAGTTTGCGTGAAGATGACTCGTATGGAGATGAAAATAAAGTAAAAAATAAAACACAAGCAAGCAAACATCTAGAATTACTTGCAACAATACAAATTAGTGATAATATTATTACATTTACAATAAACGTCTATGTAAAAAGTCTTATCTGCTGAGGATATGAAAGTGCTTGACGGAGTGGGCTGCTTGTCAATTTGACCTTACCGGGTTATGAAGAAAGCAAAACCGTCGAAGCGTCAGCTATTGTGTATCAATGAATACTTTAATAACAACCTCGTGCTGGCTCACCAAGAAAACAGTGAATTATTTGGTCAGTGCCAGGGTTAAAGGAAAGCCCCTACTGGGATTTGTCACATAATAGTCATCAGATTTTGCAAACTTTTTTTCACCCAGACAAGCGCGTGCTTTGTAAAGGATAGCTGTCCTTCATTTTGGTTTTCAATCACTTTGGCTGTCACAGCTATGACACATTTCGAGTTGAAGAAAAAGAAAAAAAGGCTACTTGGTTTCGAAATGAAATCTTCCACCATAAACGCTGTTTTCATGGACATCATCCAGATGTTAACCTTCCATTCATTCCTTTCTCATAACTTTCAATTATCGAGTAGATGATTACTTTGTTCTCGCGCCAAATTACATTTCTACGGTCAACAAAACGAAATTCTCAACATCGCTATAAAATTGAGTTTGGCAATAATCATAAGCGTATTTCTAAAGAAAAACTGGAATTTTCCAGAAATCCCAACAACTTCAGTACTGACGCTTTGAGATCAGAAAAAAATCCGTATAGGGAGAACTTGGAACAAAATTTTCTACCATATTTTCCATAGTTCTTATTATTTCTAATTACTATTTCAATCAACACTAAACATTATAATACTGCGAAAAAAGCCAATCTAATAGAAGACCAAAAATCACGAGTAGAAAAATCACACGACTTCAATTTTACAGATTAATATGTTTGCTTTCATAGGATTTTTCCCACAACAAGAATATGATCACAATGGAGTCTTTGGATTGGAACTGTTAGAGCCATCTTCACCAGTTGAAAGCACAGGCATTTAAAAGAAATTTTTGAAGCTTTAACTAAAAGCGCATGTAGCGCAGTGGTCGGAGGCGCTCTACAATACACATCGGATCGATTCCGACGTCCGTAACCCATCAAGCCTTCCATCCCTCCGGGATCGGCAAATTGGTGCCAGACTTCTCTGGGAGGATACTAGCACTGGTTCGATTTATTCTTTAATCTAACTAAAGTAATAATTAAACTACTTATGAGCGATGGGAGACGACGATAATATTACTATTGAAAGGAGAGAAATTACTTCATGATAAGAAGAATATAACCATAATTATGCTGAGATATTTGCAAACCCCCGAACTTCTGCCATCAGCGTTGGGGACCGAAAACTGTATTATATAATGTGGAGAGAGCTTAGGTGCACGTCGCATATTAAACCCTTTATTATCGCTTCAAGTTGAATTATTTAACTTTGCGAAGAACCGGGTGGATCCTATAATATCTTCCATTCATTTGGTTCTCGTATTACTGGTTGGCCAAGATTTAAGCAAACTAATCCCGAAGTCATCCAAGGCATCGCAAATTCATACCTAAAGAAGAGGCAGTCATTATGCATAGTCGGGACGTTCGTCATGGCGTTTTTTTTTCTGCGCTTGCACGGCTGTAATTACACTTGAGGAATTGGTTTGCTTTTAGTTGGACTCTTAGTCAAAGTAGGAAACTCCCCAGCTTATGGAACCTTGCAGTAAAAAGGTGAGCAACTTGCCGTAGAATGTACTTCCACATTTAGGACCTCTCGCATCTCGACGATGAAGCGAAAAACAACTAGGTCTTGTTATTACTCATTTGTAAGTAAATCCTAAGTGAAAATCCGTTGACATGCCGATATTCCACATCATACAGTGTACTCGTTTTTTTACAACTCTTTCTCAAAAGTCTCGTTCTTCTCGTGAGTGCATCTCGAATTATTTGCGTTCATCAATGTGCCACAGTACTAGTATTGGCAAACCACTAAAAATGCTGCTGTGATACGCATGAAATGGTAGTACTGAAGAAAGTTGCTGTTATTTAGATCCTTTCAAATGGCGGTGACCAGCAGGAACTCTTACTTTGTCAACTCAGTGATACCAGTACACTGCTTGCTCAGCTCGGCATTCTCGTCAATGAAGGACTCGACAGACTAATGCAGAACCAAGGTCAGCTCTTAGCATTCTCTAAATCTCCTTCACTGAAGAGAAAAGATGAAAAAGTATTCGCTAAAATGATGTTTAGAAACCCTTTCTACTGTTTGTACGAAGAATCAAGATAAAATTAATCTAGGAAATCCAACCAAAAATTTCTCCTATTGACTGTTGAACTTTTTTAATGTTCCACGAAATAAAACGTGAAAGAAGGGATGGGATATAGCGCAGTGGTTAGTGAGCCATCATGGAGTAAGGTACTGGCTCTACCATCCCTCCTCCTCCCTAGATGCTCTTCTCCAACCCACGTGGGTGGGAACGACTTAGCCCGACTATCTCCAAGCTTTCAAGAAGAGTCGACTAGTATAGCAGTTTTCAACATTCATAAAAAAGACGAAATCCTCGAGCAGCAGCCTATACGTGTGGAAGATTTTTATTGACGATAATGGCGAAGAAAACGAACTGAATGAGAGTGCTGGGATCCGCACAGGAGACGTAATGACGGGTTATGCAAAATAAACAAAAAGTGTTAAATAAAGCATAGAAAACCGCTGAGATGTGAGGCCGTTTGCCGTGCATCTTTTCTTTGGTGAAAAAAGAAAGAGAAAACAAAAGGAAAAAGTATAATTAGCGTTATTTAGATAAGTTACTTTGTAAATAAGCTGGAAAGTTTCCACATGAATTGAAAAGTGCAAAATGAAGACGATTAGAGGATGCATCTCGAATTAGTAGCATCTTTTCATTTAGAGACTTGGAAATGTTCGATATATTTTCTACATCCTCAGATAGGAGAACTATGTTCCTCACTGTGAATTAGCGAATGTCATTCGGCCATGTCGAATGGTAATGTCCAAGAGAATATTACACTTATCAATTCAGTGCCTCATCAGTTTAGGTGGGCGAGGACAACGAATTACTGAGCATGTAGAACTTATAGCTTATGAGTTTATATCCAGAGAACAAGGGACAAAGCGTTCGTTGTTCATCGATCACTTAGGGGAGCACCATGCATTCTGCTCAATTCGTAGCACCGTAGAGCTGAAGTGATTTTATGCATTGTTAGCGTAAATAATGAATTGTTGGGCCCACCAGAGGATGAAGTCGGTATTTCTATCCTCTGAGACAAGTCTGGTACTGATTTGCCCATCTCGTAGAGATGAAGAGCTTGCTTTCTCTTGGGCTCGGTATCGAACTAAAGATCACGTGTGTATTACAAGACACCGCTCACCATTGCATTACACGCACCCAATCTTGGAGAGTTGTTCAGAATATCAGCACAGCCACTTTTTCCATCGATATGGTCTTCCAGTTCACAATTCACGAGTTTTCCTTGCCTTCTTCAATAACACTCTGTCTTCAAAATCCATTGAAATGGAAGCATCCATAGTGTGAAGCGATTCCTACGACACTCTATCGATGCTTTTCGACGGTTTGCCAAGAGATGCTCAGGACCAAATTGACAAATCCAACACATTATGCCATTTTATCAAACGTTGCATTGCCACATTCCTCTGGGAAAAGGCGTTAAATGGTTCTCAGGAAAAAAGACAAAAGTAGAAGAGCTTAATTGAAATGCGATTCACGTCAAGATAATTGATGTGGTTGACAGCACTACTCATCAGAAACAGAATGCACAGGAACATCTCCACTTTGAGCATCGCCTGATTGAAAATGGTTATGTTTCAGCGTTCTCTAAGCATTTTAAATACAGAAGAAACACGTATGAAGTGCTGAGATATTAGCAAAACCCCGGGCCACAGGTGTATGCAGTGGGGAACAAACACGCGCTGTTGTCCTTACCGGGAAGCAGCGCACTTCACCACTACACCATCCCGGATAGTTTACAAATCCAGACATCCAGTGAAAAACTTTTCTTAACAAATTTTTTTTCTTCCATCATAGAAAGCTCTTCCATCCATCTATCAGAGTAAATTAGACCTGTAGAAGGTATAACCCAATATACAGAGAGTGGAACGACTTGAAGGCATAGGAAGTACTTTCTATTCGGCGTTGTAGAGGAATTAAATGGTGAACAACAGCTGATACGAGGGGAATGAGAGGAGAAATTGGACGCGGTTTGTGGTTTCTTTCCTGTTACGGAATTCCCTACGAATTTCTGCCTGTTCAAATGATTCAGTGAAGAAGGGGACAATATCAGCTTTTAATGCCAAAAAGAAACTAGAACGATAGGGAAGGAAACTCGGACTATCTTGGCGATTTTCTGCAATTCGCCTCAAAGCAATCATCTCACACTGTGTACTTTTAAGCTACTACTCTGTTACGTCATTTTTTTTCTGATTGAGACATTTTTGTTTTGTTCCTTTTTTCATTCCTGTTAAGGGTAGCGAGAATTTTATCTTCACTTCAGCTGTATCATGAAAGAAATCCTCTTCTGGAACATATTTTTAGCGACATGTTTCGCCTAGTTATATCCTTCAAATCAAGTGCTAAATAATGGACTACTTTTGGTCAAAAGAGGTTTTGATTTGGGATGAATTTCCACCATTGCGTACGGTGTTCATTCGTTGCAGTGAGTTTTCTCACGAAACAGAATGAATGTTGGAAAAAATGAGAATCGCAGGAATAGAAAGTTTTTCAAGTAGAAATTGATAGAAATCATTATCATTAGATAAAAGATAAAGGACAAAGTTCTCGGCGTTCAGTGATCATTAGGGATGCGCCATTCATTCGGCTTCACTAAGCATCGTTTGGAGGTGGCTGGATGCATATCTGGCCTTTAGAATGATTCGCGGTAGTCTACCGATGTATCGAGCCAGTGCGGCTATCCTCCCAGACAAGTCTGATACCAACTTGCTGATCCAGGAGGAATGGAAGGCTTGGTGGACTATGGACGCGGTGATCGATTCCACCTGTGTGTTTCAGGGCGCCTCTGCCCACTGCACCACACGCGGCCTATTATCATAATTATCACTAGATACAAAAAAAAATCAAACAAGGTGAACAAGGTTGGAAAGACAAGAAACTCGTAACGTAGAACACTTCGCCAAGGTGGAAATGGCAGAAAGGTTATTCAAGCAGTGAATTCCGGATACATACAGAGAAGTAGATCTCGTTTAAAATTTCCTTAAAAAAATAGTTTCCAAATAAATTAGTATTGACTCGTAGGTAAGGTTTTGAAAAAAATATTCAAAAGTCCGGACTTTCATTCAAATTTTCGGTTTTCCATTCAATGTTTAATCGATGAAATTTAGGAATCACATCGGCGGTCGATGAAAGCAGTGAGGCGGGCGAGAACGGCGTCGAGAAGAGGAAACACGAATACCTCAGATTTGGCAAAAGAAAGCATGAGTATCTACGATTTGGCAAGAGAAAGCACGAGTACTTGAGGTAGGTGGGAAATGGGAGCCGTGAAAACTTGTGCGAGATACTGTTTAGTGCTGATGATAGCTCTAGTGCGCGCCATTTCTTGACTCATTGCCAATATTGGAGACCACAGAAACTTTATGAGCACAATATCATCCTATTCACTAGCAGTTTTGCAAGGGCTTTACAAATGCCTTCGGCTAGCTCTGGTCATTTTTCAAGGCAGAGAAAAGAGACGAAGATTAATGTGAGCTCTAATTAAGGTCCAATTTGCGCAAAAAGCAATACGTCTGACCTCTACGTATCAGAATCCACCACGACTAGACCTTAATGGATCGAAACACACTATCATTAACTCGACCGACACCGAATACCGTAGTATTATAGTGGAACCTAGCAAGAATAGTACAGACTGAAAACAGTTCTCTGTTACACAAAAAATTTTGCATTTTCATCGTCCGCGGTACATTAGACAGTCCGGTAATAGTGTCGACCGGTTGGAAATCACGTCGGAGCGGCGAAAATCGCGCTTTTTGGACTTCCGGCGGATAACTCGTCCGCGGCTACACTATCCGGCGTTGGCTTTTGCAGGTGTACGTGATTAGCTGGCAGCCGGCTGGAAATATCCAAAACCGCGCGAAAATCGCGTTCGGAGGCCTTTTACAGCGTCGGGACAGAAAACTCGTCCACTTCGAGTGGGCGGTCGTTTTTTGCGTTGTTCTCACTTCTGGGCGATTTCCTCGCGCGGATTCCACTCCTCGGACCCTCATGTGAGTAGGCCTTAATATCTTCGAGCCTATAAAAACAGTTTCGAGAAAATACGGCAGTTTATCGTTAGATAAAATAGTGGACCGGTGGGAAATATATTAGCGAGAATTTATGTCACAAGAGGTTCATTTTGAGAAGTCTTTGAAATTGCTTGTATAATGCATATATACGTGTAGACATACAAACATATATACACGTTGATACACAAATACACTCATACACATACACACATACATACATCCACACACAGACACGAGCACGCACATTTATATACAATTATATGGAAGTGAACTATATTGTTGAGCTCAGTGTGGCGCGGACAGAAAGCAATTTATATAATTTGCTAACTGCCCATTGCAGTGTCAACATTCCTAGGCTTCTGTGTGTTTTTATTTGTGCTTCTTTCTTCTTTTCCTTTCAGTGTCAGCCTACATGAGTAAGAGAATAGCTCAAGGTAATCAACCTACTGAATAGTTTTTATTTAACCATAAATTTCAACCTCACCTGTAAGTAGCTGTTGCAAATAGTTGCACTTTGAAATTAAAATAAGCCTAAAAGGGACATCAAGGAGAGTGCGCGGATGGCCGGTTTTCTAGAAGATTCGAATGGATCACAGCACAGTTTCTATTTGGCTGGTATTTGGCTAGTAGATATAAATTTTTTATCTAAAGGATACAACCGTTCGAGAACACTGCCGTGTTGTATAGCAAAGTTCCTTGCCAACCGCCGTGATTGGAAAGAAGGTTTGCTATCTTGTGAGTTGGTTTCATCCCAAAAGGCAGCTAACTCGAGGAAGGGTTTGCACTTGGCCGATATTCGGGATACAAACGACAAATCCCACATAAACAACACACGAGTGGTCCCACACCTTGCAAAATGACTCTAAAAAGACGAACTTGCTAAAACGTCATCCATCAAATCACTAAAGTGACGACGACAACAACAACAAGAGCTGATAGCAAAATCGCGTCAGCTCAACAAGGGCAGTTCGGATAAACTCTTTCCTAATAGGAGTCGGTCTACCTAAGCATGAGTATCCAGCTGCAGGTAGAAAATCGACATCCAGGAACACCTTCCAACCATGGTAAAATGGTGAAATATTGAGTCGTTCAATAAAAGGCTCCTACGAAAATGTCTTGAGAAAGAAGCTTGTTGAAGCTCTAACAATAACCATATGTGTGACACCTCCACTAACTGTTCTGTGACGAAATATATCAACCGAGTAGTTTATAGGTTCGGCAAACGAAAGCACGAATACCTTCGTTTCGGGCGCAAATAGACAGAGCAACAAAAAGAGAGAGCAGTGGATGTCATCCCAACATCATTTCTTTCCTTTTTGCGTACACACTCAATTTTTATTTTATCGTGTAGGGCATAAAGATGTCTGTTCTTCATGTCTTTTCTTTTTTTGTCTTTTGAATAGAGGCATTAATGCGTAACATAAAGAATGGAACTGTCCTGAGTTATCAGTGCAACCAGATAAAGACTAAGTCTGCAGTGCTTGTTCATCAGCAAGTCCATCTACATCGCTACTTTATAGTGAGGTACACACTCCTTTTATGAAACTGGAGCGAGTTATTCAACTGTACCGGAATTTCACAAGTAGTTTTATTTGTTTTCTGTATTTAAAATAATAAAAATACGCATCTCCGTATGAAAACATAATACTCTCCATGTCGTTCAATTGAGTAGAGCTCATTATGCAGAGAACTAATCTAAAATTCCGGGGCAAGCCCAACGAAGGAGAAATTGTTTGGCGTTAATGTATTGTGTGGAGATAAGCGATGCATTCGACTCCACTAAACATCGTAGAAGTCAACGGATTCGCAGTTCGCCCATGGAATAACTTTCGGGATGAAATGAAATGAGTGTTGTATAAGTTCAGCATTTCTATCGTCTTGAATAGGTTCGGTGCCGTTTGTTAGATTTCCGTGGCATAAAAGCCTTAGTTTGCCCGCTGTGTGATGTTAAAGTAACGACCATTTTGTGCACACTACTGTGCTCTTCTAACCACTGCACTACACGCTTTTATTAATAGGTACCTGATTTAGCTGAATACTTGAACGGCTCTCTTCGCAAAGCTTTGTTTAGGTCTCATTACAATTTCCATCGACATGATAATTTTCTGGTTTGATCTGATTTACTTTCTCTTCAAGCAGTACTCTCCCTGGATGTTGCCAAGATGTTCGCTCGCAACGGCATATTTTCCGTCCATAGCATTCTTACCATTATATTCTTGGTGAAAGCGTTATTAGTGTAACTCATATTATTGACAACTCCAGACGATGCAGATAAAAGCGTGATTTGAATGAGATGCTAATTGTCTCCTTATCAATGAAATCATGTGACATAGTCTAAGCAAGAAAATTATGAAGCATACCGTGCAAGTTGAGACTTCTTGCAATGTCCCAGTTTTCCTATAATGAAATCGTAGTCGGCTTAGGAAGAATCAACCATGTGAGTTGAATGAGTGCTAAGGAAGAATGGAAGAAAAAATAGGACGAAGTGTACGTCGTTAAATTCGTCTTTTAGAGAATTGCCTCCACAAATAGTATCCCATTTGTAAAATTTGCTAACCGATTAAATGTGTATGTTTGCCACTTCAAGGGCACCAATAAAAGAGTGAGAAGATAGAGTTCCCAGGATCGACTTTCTAATTAACGTCTGCATTGGATTATAAATGTGTGGTTTTCTTTTTCAGCAGTCACGACGTGATTATACTGCACCTATGTACTTCCGTACAAAAAACACAAACAACGGGGCAGAAGCTGATTTTGTTTGTTTGTTTGGGCAGCATCGCCTTTCTCAGAGCCTAGATGGGTATATTGATAAGTAATTTACCAGGCTTCAAAAGCACAAGCGCTTCAACGGCGCAAACAGAAAGTTGAAAATCGGAACGGTAATTATGCGATCAACAGCTTCTCGAAAAACTGTTTATTACGTGTCTTCCATAGGGAAAGAACAGCTGATCAGAGTCGAAAAGGGTTGATGACAGCACCACCTCACATCAAAAATCAATTCTAAGATGCGACAGGAAGATTATGTATCATAGAACTATATTATAACTATTATAAAAACTATAAACACCTTATGGATGTATTATTGATTATATTATATTCTATGACAAGAAGATAAAGTGTTCAACCTTGGTCATATCTCTGAGGGATGCTCCTTGCATCCGACTTCATTGGTTACATTCGCTTGCACTGGTGACTGAATGCATATCTGACCTAGTCGCATTAACCTATCGATGTATCAGATAAGTGATTTTATCCTCCTAGAGCAATCTTGTAGCAGTTTGCCGACTCTGGAGAGATGGAGGGCTTGGTTTAGTCCCGTCTTGGAATCGAAATAGTGAGTCTCGATCTGGTGAACCAAATAAGCTACTACATAGATTTTAACCCTAAAAATTATTGCATCAACCAGCGAAATCTTCATAAAAGCTGAACGAGAAAAAATTAGTCGATGGATTGCTTTTATCTATACATTTGCACAATTTTTTCTCGGTAATTTTTTCATGGATTCACTTAGATTCATTTTTTAAGTTGCAGTTCATCCAGAATGTAACATCCCACTTCTAGTCTGTCAAAATATTCCAGCACAGCGCCGTCGATGAAACGTAACATTGTTGTTGCATATAGTTACATATAGGTTTTCTTGTTGTTGAGTTATACAAAAGTATTCTAAGAATAGACAACTGCGAATGTTGCAGCCGATAGAGATGGGTGGAAGAATGCCTCGCTGAAAACTAAGTGGGAAAAATGAATTGGTTGGCAGCGGTTTAGAATGTAGCCATAAAGTCAGATGAACAATAAGAATAAAATCACAGTGTTTACTTCTTTATTTACTGCCTACTAAAATTTTCACGGCAGGGTATTATGCGACCAAAAACGGTGCTGAAATATTAGTAAAACTCAGACCCCGGGCCACATCAAACCGCGATTTCCCGTTCCAGGGCTCGCACATTACATAATGCGTTCACGTAGACCCTTGCTCTACGTTTCACTCAGTCAGTTTTCTATCTCTCAGTGCCATCAGCAATCACCGTTCAACGGGAGTGATCTGGGGAGTCCACATTTGCAATGAACTCAGTTAAGATGAGTATAAGAATGAACGTTAAATTAATAGGAACTGGTAAGAATTTTGTAAATGGTGAGTTAAACCTTGCATGAAGGAATTGGATGGAAGATCTCGAGTAACGTCAGCATAATGCGTTGACCAAAGCAGTCAACATTGGAAATCTTTCTAAAACTTAGAGATTTGAGTTCTTGCAGTGAAACTTTGTTTATTGCAGAAAATCGATGGCGTCTAGTGCTCTATGAATGTACGAAATTACAAGTGCATATAAGGGGACTTTTTTCATTCACGAATCAAACCGGGTCTTGTATTTATACTTGGGAGAAATAACAAGCGGGTTAGCCATGTCGTGGCGAAGAACGTCTGAAACCTTAGTTGTTCGTACAAGGATTTTAAGAAAAAGAAAAAGGAAGAGGGAAAGAAGAGTTATAATGATTATTAAAGCCTATTTAAACGTCTCCACCAGCAGAGTTGACGTCATTCCAATCCTAGTTAAATTTCAAGCGTTGCTATCATATACATAATCTTTCCTTTCTTTCATTTTCCATCCAAAATTCAAGAACCATCGTGATGTAGACTGACGCTCCGGAAATTACACGATCAGTTGCTGAAGTCTTGAGAACAAAGCAGGAGATTCCATACTTGGCATACATAGCACGGATAGTGGAAAATCGCATGGGTGGGGTGGATATGTTGGAATGTTCGATAGCACGTGAGCCCGGTAAGGATAATCATAGGTATAAAGCCCAGCCAAGGTTCTGAGTTTTGCTCATATCGCAGGATTCCTATGACTAATTTCTTAGAATTCTTTTTGGATACGTCTAAATAGTTGTAACCCATCTAAAAGATGCCCTCCCATTTGTAATCATTCTCGTCTACATGTCATTTTCATCATCTCGTTAATGAGGAAGCGTTTCACACGGAAAGTTTTTCCCATCAACAAAGGGACTAACTGAACACGTATTTAGAGTGTACAGTGACTCGTAGTTGCCTAACGATGTATCAATTGCTCTCCTCCTAGACGAGTTTGGTAGCGATATGCGTATCGTGGAAAGATCGACGACTTACTTGAGCCAGGGTGCCAGATCGAACTAGGACCCATATCTGTATTGCAGGGCATCTCTAACCACTACACTATACGTGCCCACTGTTGCTATAATTTCATCAAGTAGTTTCAAATCTTCATTGTGAAGACTTTATTCCTTTAAAGATTTCAATATTGCGATTTTTATTCAGAAATTTTAAAAGGTTGTCACAATGCGTTCGAATATATCACATAGAATGGACTATTCTATTCATGGTCAAAAGAGACATCGGATAGAAAACAACAGAAAAAGTTGCACTCAGTAGGAAATGAATAAGTAGGTTACGGCAGATGGAGATATTATATATCCAACATGTACTTCATATTTGTAAGCAATTGACATCACAATAAGAGCAAAATGGGATTTTTCTATGGTGACATTCATATCCTTTGTGGATGGTTCACAGAAAAAGAAACAGAAGTCATAGTAGTAGGACTCCAATAACGTGTGCTGATATGAGGAAGGAAAGGTAATAACGCAAAAGGATAAAAGATGGAGGATACGAGAAAAACAAGGACGATAAATTAGTGAGGATAACCTTTCTCATACTTCCTCATTCGTCCAGTAGCTAGAATCTTGTCGTTGATGACGTTCATCGTGAAGAGCGCGGCGATGCCAAGGAAACACGCAACGATAATTCCTGCCAAAGCCTGAAAATTGTTCGAGTAGTCATTCTAACGATTGTTCTGAAAATAATTTCGGTGTCTCGCAGTACTACCATATAATTCCGACGATGAAATTCTGTCTCGACGATTTATAAATCAGCATGCTAAAATTATCATGGTTTAATTCATTTCAGGACTCCAGAGAGAATCAGCATTCCACAGCCATTTATGCAAAAGACGACAATCCTCAAGCAGCTGCCGAACCAACATGCAAACAGCTTGTTGGAAGACATCCGTAGATGATGCATGCGCGGAAATGAACCGAACGCAATGTGTGCTGAGATCCGCATTGTAGGTGTGAGGGGCAAAATGTACAGAAAAAAGCATACGTGTCACTGATGAGCTTATTCATACTAAGACGCAGTTGTCAATTGATTAAGGAAAGTTTTTACAGCACCACTCATCAGACGTGTCCTATCTATAATTTTATTCATTTGGAATTCCTGTTTATTTACTAACGAGCAGGGAATGTGACAGCCTGGTTCAGTTCGGTTTTCTTGCAAATGGCAGATAGAATCCATGTGAGATCTGTTCTTTTTTTCTTACCATATTTGCAAAGTCATGTAGTATTTCTGCATTCCTAATAAACTAGAATAAATACGTATTTTGGTGCTGGAAGTATCTCTAGCTTTTGCATAACACAGAGTTCAACAGGATTTACGGAGTTCACATTGTCGAGCAGCTCTACGTGAATCGCAGCAAATCTACAACCACCCTACCTACCACAACATCGTTCTTATATAACTACAAACGATAATGGATAATCTAAAACAATGCTGAGATATGAGCTAAACTCGGAACCCCCAGGTGAGCTTCAAACCAGTAGTTATCCTCACATAATGCCCTGCCCCAAAAAAATTAGTGGCAGTAATTAGAATTTGAAGATTGTGATTTCCACCGCACCGCAGCTTCAGATTAATGCCGATCTCTGCTCTCTAGATCATTCTCATTGATGGGTGATTGCCTATGGCATCGTTAAAGTAAGCAACTGGCCAACAGAATAGCAAGAAAGGCGGTGCAGTAGATTACAAGTGCACCTCCGGAAAAGGTAACTGAGAGTTCGAATAGCACCTGAGGTTCCAAACTTTGCACAGAGCTCAACATCGGTTTGGTTGTATTTCACATCATACTTTGCCACAAAAAAAAGTAGGCAGTACATAAAAGTTAAAGAAAGGAAAAACCATTCTGCGTTGATTATTCTTTTGAGGATGAGCCATGCAGTCGACTTCGTCAACCATTGTACGACATGAATGAATGCATATCTGACCTACACGATGACTTCGGTGCTTTGCGAGATTTAAAGTCAGCGCTCTTATTCTCCCAGACAACACCAATCTGCCAATTTTAGAGCGACGAAACGTTTGATGAGCCAGAAGCGCAGGCTCGAACAATTGACCGATGTATTGGTCATGTATTGCATCACGTATTGCAACGCACACCCAATTACTGCATAACAGGTGCCCCACTATGCATCCATACATGGATAAGTCAAGGAAATCTTCCTCTGATACTCATTGTTGTGAAGCTTGACGAATGAAGAAAACAAAGATAAAACACGATTTTAGTCTGTACCTCAGAAGGAAGCCTTTGCTTTTCTCACCCACTATCGTAAATTTACCGAACATGGCAGGAGTTTTACTGGAAACTGAAGAGCTAGTTTCGTAGTGCACCAATAACAGTGAGACAGAGTTCTTCCATAGGACGGGTCCATTCGTTGGTCAAAAAGCGCTGATAGGATTGCATTCATTTCGTTGCTGTAGTCGACAAAGGCATGCACAAATCAGATGCGATACTATCAACAGAATTCTAGGACCCAGCATACGGTTTAGATATGGCCAATGTAGCAGAATCCCTGTTGGAATTCTTCTTGATCAGCTGGTTGTACCTGATCCATAGTAATTAATATGTGCAATATTTAACTTGGCAGCTGATAGAGAATACCAAGCATGTCAGAGGGTAACTTACTAAGATGTCATCTGTCACCTTTCCTGAGCATTATGACCGTAGGCGGTGTCCTCCACTGATCTGCAGCTTTCTGCTTTCAACGGCAAGATGTTATATTTATCGCTAGAGGTAAGGTAGTTTATGGCCCTCAGCTCTAGGGAAGTCGGCTGTAATATTGCCAGATCTTGGTACTCCGCATGTCTTCATGTTTTCTAACGCGTCACGAACACCAGAGGTGAGAGACCTGGGCGATTTTTCGCTAGCGAGGATTTCCATGTCTTAAAGTGCAATTATCGAAAGGGAAATATTGGTGTAGAACTTTTCCGTTCTTAATTCCACATTATACAGGAGAATGATAGCTGATCCATGCTTGTTCATAAGCCCAGTGGAGAAACATTCTATTCGCAGAGATCTCGATACAACTTTCTTAAACTAGTTCCTTTCGTCAGCTGCTTTCAACGGTTTTTCTGCTTGTACTGAAATAAGATCTTCTGTAAACACCATTCGAAACTGGCACTTATCACTAAATGTGATGAGGGTGTTGAAGTAGAATCAGCTCTTATTTCTCTTTTTTCAAGCATCAATCGACAAATCGCAGAAATCGCCCCCTTCTCAGAAGTCACTGTCGCGTTGCAAGAATTCTGTCTGCAAAGTAGCAAATTTTCTCTCGATCAGCGAAAGCTGTCTTCTTGTCATAGAATACCCTAGTCTGACTGCCTCGGATTTCCAGGAGAAATACCAGAAAAAAAACACGGTCGACCACTGTTGATGGGAGAACATAACACAGCCTGAACTTACAGGCGAAGCCACATACGAGTTCTCTCACGTTCGTTGATAAAGCTATGAGATGCCGATGTGAATGAAAGAAGGACTGGGTGCAGCACTACACGTAAAAACGGGTAGTATACCCACTAAGAAAAACGCACTTGGGTAATGCTTCCTTAGAATTTCGCTGATTGTGTCTTGTTCTCCAAGTACGGTTGTAAAAATAAAAAACAGACCACCTACGAACGAGCTTCACTGAACAGTTCGCGTGTGATCGATGGTCGTGATATGAGAACTTCAAATTGTAATAGCCCTCTTATTAATCCCTTTAGCAGTTTCCGTGGATTTCCGATGATGTAAGCAATAAAATATACAGAAAAGAATTAACAAATGATAGTACATTGTGAAAGAAACTTTTTTAAAATTAAGTAGTTAGGGAAATCACAAGTCGATTATTAACCACAATATTAACCTTTTATTTTCTACCTACTATAATTTGTCACGACAGGGTCATAATATGCATTACAACCACAACGATGCTGAGATATTCGTAAACCTAGGACCCCGGAATGGATCGAACCACGATTTTGTTTCCAAGACTAGCGCATTACACATTTCGCCGCAGAAGCCCTTGACGTGCGTTTCTTTCAGCTAGTTTTCTACGTTGCAATCTGCCGATTTGTGTTCTCCAGATCAATCCCGATGACGGGTGATTGTTGTCGGTGTTAGGTACAAAAATAGCTGAGAGAAACGCAGAGCAAGGGTCTCTGTGGCGTAGTGTATAATGCGCGAACCCCGGAAAAGAAAATCGTGGTTCCATCTGGTCCTGAGTCCTGATTTTGCGAATATATCAGCATAGTTGTATTAACTACACATTTCCACAATTCTTTTTTATCACTGGTTCACAAATTTCCATGCGATAAAAGTGGTTCTAAATGCATGAATACCGAAATTCGTTCGTATGTTTGATGAACAATCTACAACTACTCACTCCAATCCATCCGAACCGCTCTCCGGTCTCAATGATGGTTCTCTGAGATATTGTGCCACCAATACCGATGATGATCAGCCATCCCATAATTCCTGCCGTAGAAAAGATCACCTCCTAGAAGAAAAAAGCAAGAGATGATAGATGGTCCTTGGTTTTGATCAACGGTCCAACTCTTTAAGAATCATTCTCTTCGATTTCTATCTCATGAAAATTAAAGTGTTAAGGTCAAAACGAATGAAGTCCTTAAAGTTAAAAGGATATTTTCTTGCAAAACATTGTTCCTAATTCTTATTTATTGCCTTCAAGTTTCGAGGATTGTTAGTGCTTTTAGACCCTAACCTTCTCTATCAAAAAGGCAACCTCGAAGAGATCTTGAAAATTGTAACAATGAACAGGTGTGACGGCCTGGAGTTATTGATCAATTTTGTTTCAATACTACTTTATACAGTTGAATGTCTTTATCGGGCAAAGCTATAAGAGTGGTGCGTTAAAAAATAAAATAATAAAACCAACTGACCGACAGTGAGCAGTTGGTGAGAGGTGTCTCATCACCACGTTTGGCAAGCAAGAAGTACATGACAACGGAGACGAGGCAGTACAGTAGGGTGAGTGCCGAAACGATGTAGATGAGTACGATCTCGTAGTTGACGGAAATGTAAGCAGTCACATAGGTCGGATCTAGTAGAATCAGCACAACGATCGTCAGTAACTGAACGATAAGAGGATATGCTCATTCATCCTCAGATCTAATATGTGAATGAAATTCTTCAATTCTTTTTTCGTTTGTTTTTTCCTTATTGTTTTCATTTTTACGCTTTTGTCACTAATCGAAAGTAAAAACTTACACTTATGTGATTTAGCACAGTTTAAAGTGATACTTTTAAACACTCGAAAAAGTGAACAAATAAAGAGAAAGGGATAAATGTATATCAACTGATATCGTTCTGCCTGCTTTGTCCATTGTGGTCAACTGATTTCGAGGCAAACGATTGTCTATGAGGGTTAGTTGTTTAACCTGTAATGAACGCAAAAAGCACTGGAAGCGTGAACTACACGTCTTCCATGAAATCAATATCCGATCTTATAACTCAACATTTCGTTGCGCGAGTGGGTCGACTCATTTCCACTATTTCTAAACAGTTCTCTAATTCCCAAGCTTCATGCTCTGTTGAATGAAGTGACTATCTAGGAAATTGGTCATGCTAAACCTATGTCATCGCCGGCAACACGAACCACTCGTGCGAACGGCTGTTGTCTTCAACTGGAATGTCTGTTGGAATGAGCTCACGTGAGCGTACTTACAAATGAATGCAATCATTATAAATGGCCACTTCAAAGGAGACGAGCACATAGAAGCGCTGAGTCATATATATTTCAAAACCATCTACGAATAAACAAGCATTGAAAGTTATGTGACTTATTTACTGAAGTTAGTTACGATGGTGTACCAACTACCTCTTATTTGCTTACCAATAAAACAATATTTGAATTATTGTTATGGATTATTGTTCAACTTTACTTACGAACAGGTCCGCCCAATGTGTAGGTTGTCGTCCTATGAGACGTTTGCATCTTCGTGGAGTACGTTCTCCTTTCTGCCAATCTGTCGCTCCTTTTCCTCAGGAGCGACCCTTTAATGTTTCGCTATTGATGTGTGCTTTCTTGGGTCTTGAAAATGAGATAGATTCCGCAAATCAGAGCTAAGCATTACGGCTAGATGTTTTGTGTGCCGATTATAGTTCAGAAAACATCGTTCAAGCATTACGTGAATAGCGCGCAGTATACTCGACGTAGCTGAGGTATTGGCCCACTTCTCTGCTGCAACAGAGCGCTGGGAAGACTGCTGAATCGAAGAGGTGAGAGCGGATGTTCAGGTTCCTTAGACAGTCGGTGGCTTCTTTGAAAGCCCCGGATGCAGCACATATTGCTCTCCTTCTTCTGTCTAATTTCTGCTTCATCTTGTTCTTCACATTCATTGAACGCCAAAGGTGCATGAACGAGGTGGTACCTATAATCACAGAACTATCCAGTTTGATCTGTCCGCCTTCGCAAGGTGGATTTTTAATGAACTGGACCTCCCTAGAATTCATATGCAGTCTATTCTCTCATTTCGTTGAGCTCATTGGTCACCCTTTCCACTTCGTTGGCACCTCTTGAGAAGGTGACGATATCGTCGGCGAGACGAAGATTTGATAGAAATTATCTATGCATGCATATGTTTTCTTCATCCCAATCCGGTGACTTCATTTTCCACTAAGGCAGTAAACAGCCTTGTTGATACGGTGTCGCCTTACAAACTTCTTTTTTCTATGGATACGATAAGAGAGGAGCGCGTGTGGCGCAGTGGTTGGAGGAGCCAAACACGTGGAATCGATCCACGCGCCCATGGCTCACCAAGCCCTCCATCCCTCCGGGGTCGGCAAATTAGTACCAGACTTGTTTGAGAGAATAGCAGCAGTGGCTAGATCCATCGGTAGGCAACAGGGAGTCATTGTAAAGGCCAGATATGCAATCAATCACTTCCAACGATATTTAATGAAGTCGAATGCATGGCGCATCTCTCAGGGATTGATCAACGCCGAGAGCTTTATCCTTTAACCTTTATGGTAAGAGGTCGATTGGTAACCAGTACTATCTTGGTGTCCCTCCGATGGCGGTCAGGTAGAGTTCTTATGTGGGACTGGTCCAGTCCTTGGTCGAGTCCTGATCGGACCGCACTAGTTTCAACAGTGTCGAACGCACTTTCATAGCCGACATTGGTTAGGACTAGGGGCAGGTGATATTCAACACAAAGGTCTATCACCTGAAACACGGTCTGGATGTGGTCTATGCAGCAAAATTCTTGTCGAAATCCTGCTTGCTAAACTGGTTGTGCCTCATCCAATGTCGTTGACATGAGTGATAGGATGATCTTCGTGAAAAGTTTGTAGAGTGTACTCAACGTGCATATGGGAGATACCTTCGGTTACGTTTCTTGGGCATCATGTTCGTTCTTGACCTCCTCCATTGTTCTGGGATTTTCCTCCTGTTTCTGAATGTAAACTGCCGTGTGTGCTGCGAGAAGTACATTTAAGTTGCGGCTTAAGCAACATTTCGGTTGGGTCCATTCCTGCATTACAGCTTTAACACATTATAGTTTACATCTATTTAAATTATATAACACATCCTCCCGACGGTTTGCCGCCTCATCGTGGCTGGGATGTGTTCCTGGGTGTTGGACTGCGATGTACAGCGGGGATTCATCCTCTGGCAGGGTCTCCCAAGCTGAAAAGTTCAGTGTTTCCATCCGGAAGCCTAGCTAAGAGTAAACCAATACCAGGATCCATCACCGTCCTAGTATCAAAGACGCATGGTGGTAAACCTCCCTCTGATCCACAAGGGTTGCGGCTGCCTGTGGTGGTAAAGACCTGGGGCAGACTTTGGCCAGGCTGACCTCGGGACTCCAGGGAGCCATAATGGCTTAACCAGCAAATCTCCGAAAAGTGGAGATTATGCTGAGGCTCGCACAACCAGTGAGGACGAGCCATTTAAGTATCAAGTGTGTAGCACATAAAGATATAAGAACTTCTGAATCAGTGTGCTTTAATATTTCATAATTTCAACACACGAGCATCCGGAAAGGGTTATGGTGGTTCGATCTGGCCTGGGGTCGAAGTTTTGCGAATATTTCAGCACCACTGTGGCTCGATCTCACATCATACCCTGTCGTGAAAAGCTACAGTAGGCAGCAAATGAAACGTTAACATTATTTAATATTTATTTCGTGCATCGATTGTAGAGCAAGTCTGCCAAAACCGACTCCCTAACACACACGGTTATTTTTATTTGCAGATTAACTTAGACAATGTTAGGTTCAACATATTGGATTTGTTTAATATAAATTAACTCGTCTAGAGTATAATCTACTAGTTCAGGAACTTTTGTTAAGTACAAGAAGACGTTCAAATGCGCAGACACATACGGCAGCCTATCATTGCTCGTGGCTTAAGCAGTGAAGCTGACCTGCTTAAGAACTCTAACCTGATACGATTGCAATTGCCCTAAAAAATGCTGTTCCATCGCTTCCTTCCTAACTCTTACCATGCACTTCTAAAAACAATCTCACAAGCTCACACCATAGCTGTAGCTGTTCAATGCTACACCGTAGTCGATGACGCCACTCGACTAAGATGAAGCGGTTATGCGTACTGGCTGGGAAAAATTCTTCAGAGGCTCATTTTACTAATGGCATTTTTTCACTTTATAGAAGTTCTAGTGAGGCACGGACGAATCATTAGAGAAATTATAACTGACGCAGATAAATTTTGAATCAAAACAGCAGTTTTTAGTTGTCGAGGCCATGAAAGCCATCCACGCACTAAAATACTTAATACATATGTGCTGGTGAACCACTCGATAGGTATTCTAGTAGGAATGGAATTTATAGACGGGTGCAAGCCACTTAGGTAAACACAACGGCTGACACGAGGACACGCAACTTCTATTTGCTGATGCCTTCAGGCATGACATGTACGAATTTCGTTCGTATACTAACGATGAGGTCAAGCTATTAATTAATTTTAATTCATTACCAGATATCAATACGAAGAGTAGTCACTCGAGCAGGGTTTCATGTTTAGTGGACACCATGGTTAACATCTCGAATAAGCTGGAAAGTATGTGAAGGCTAAAGGCCATACACTTACAGTTAGATAACAAATCGCCGTTACAAGTAATCAAAGCTGAGGGTTAAACGCTAATGAATATTAAAAATTGGGACGTGGTACATGGCAAATCTTTGAATATATGAGATGCTAAAATACCTGGATTGTGAGACAATATCTAGATCTATGTGGCATCTACAACTAACTGGAGCAATTGTATTAAAAACGACGATAAAGATATATCCGAACACTAACCCCCGGAAGGGATAATTATTGGTTCAAATCGCACCTGAGGGTCTGGGTTTAGCTTATATCTAATCAACCTTATGGTTGGACTTCACATAGTACTAAGAAGGAAGAATAGGCAGCAAATAAAAGTTAAACATCGTGATATCTAAACATTATTATACATGCTTAAATGGAGGATAAAGAATAAAGATTTCGGCGTTGATCAATCTCTGAGGGATCAGCCATGCATTAGAGTTCACAAAACATCGTTAGAAGTGATTCTATACATATGTGGCCTCTACAATGACTTACGATAGTTCACATATATATCCAGTCAGCGCTCCTATCCTCCCAGACAACTTTGACAGCAATTCGCCGAACCCTGAAGGAAGGATTGAGGGCACGTTAGGCCTACAGCCCGGGATTGAACCCATGTGTTTTACAATATACCCCTAACCACTGCGCTACACGCAAGCACCCACATACTTAGATATAGGCAGAAAATTTATAACAGACTCTACTTATTTCGTATTTGTCCATTTCGTATCTGTCCATTGCCCATAAAGAGAATTTCTAGGGTTTCCGCTGCATATATACTGAAGCAAGGATAGTGAAAATTGCACTAAAGTGAAGTGGTCGAAAGCATACTTATTGAATAACATATGAGTTTTAAGGAAAACAATTTTAATAAAAAACATCTCGATAACACTTGCATTCAAATAAGAAGCTTGGAAAGCTATTGAAAGCTTTTTGTTATAAAGTGACTAAAGTGAAAAGAAGTAGGTAAATTGTTAAAGGTAAAATCTGAAGACACTGATGATAACCACATACAATCATTTGTTTTCATAAATCAATAAATCGATAAACTTACAACGATTACTACTTTTATAGCTGAGCATATGAGCAATTGATTAGGGAAGGCCATTTTAGTAGGTGGATGATTGGAGAAGGTACGACGTCGGGGCTCGACCACAACTGGGCTGAATCATTGCTGAGCAAACATTACGACTGCGTCTCCGCTTCGAGCACGTTCTTCAAGCTGTCGTCAGACTTTTCGATTACATAATCGATTTCCAACCATAAGCACGTTTCAGGATCCAGGTAGGATTGATGTGCAGACGCTTGCGATTCTCATGATTCCCATCGACGGATGACTGCTGATATCACCGATAGAGTAAAAAACACGGCTGAGAGAGAGGCAAAGCAAGGGGCTCCCTCAGTTGGTGCTGTGGATAGCACGTCAACCTCCGGAAAGCTTAATCTTAGGGTCGAAGTTCAGCTAACGTTCCGAGTTTTACTCATATCTCAGCGTTTTTGATCTTGATGATTCACTTCAGTGTGAGTGTGAAATCGTTATCAGCTATGACAGCGACTTCCATCTTGGAAACATGGAAGACTTTCGCCAAAAGCAAAAGCGTTTTCTGAACCCACAGCGATAAATGTCGAG